GGGAGACGGAGAGACAGATATCTGGTGTCTTTTCCTCCTCTTATAAGGACACCAGTTCATTTGGATTAGGGCCCCACCCTTATGACCTCATTTAACTTTACATCTTTAAAGACTCTGTCTCCACATACAGTCACAATGGGAGTTAGGGCTTCAACATATGCATTTGGGGGGAACATAATTTAGTCTGAGATGTCACCAGAGGCTCATGGAGATGTCCAAGAGATGACTCAACCTGGAGCAGTGGTCATCAGGTTCTTATCTCTGCTCAAGAAAGAATTTGAGGGAAAAACAGATGTAGGAAAATGCATGGAGTTTATTAAACTGAGAGTATACACTTGAGATGGAAGTACAGGTGAACTCAGAGGTTGCGTCACCCTGAGGAAGTCCTCATCAGGGGTTTTTATACCTCCCAGGGTCAGGACTTGGGGATGTGACACTCATGTGGCTCATCTGTCTCCTCCCAGTAGGTGGTCCCCACAGTTTCCTGCTCTTTTGTCCTTATTTGGTTTCTCAGGTGCATGATGGGAGTCAGTAACTGCAATGTGAGTGACATTATAGTTTGCTAAAGATCAGGTCCCAGTCATGGATACTGCGCCTGCCAGATAAAGCTTGTTCTTGTTTTTCTCTAGTCACAGGTGCCGGATACAGTTTCTTATGAAACTGAAACTAGAGAGGTGCCTCACGTTGTATCCTGGAAAGGGAGATCTATTCCCGAGGCTACTTATCCTGCCTCAATAACACAATGCTTCCTAATAATGCCATTCCTGTCGTGCTCATTATTATTTAATACACTCACTCTTTTTTCTCTGTAAATGATGTGATATATAAAAGTGATACAGTGAATTCAAGGAGAAAGGTATCAGGGAAAAAAAACCTGCTCTACCCTGAAGTGAAAGAGAAGTTACCCAGCATTGTGTAAAGGTGTAGGTTTGTCCCTCTATACTTTCATTTTCTCAAAGTGTATAAATACTCAGTCATTATAAAAGAAATTATTTTGGTTAAAAGTGCACTTTAAAGGGCTGGCCGAGTGGCGCGTTGGTTAAGAGCTGGCTTGGGATGCCAGAAGGCCAGTGACACTGCCCTCCAAAAAAAAAAAAAAGTGCACTTAAATAAAACAGCATGGATTTATGGTGACTTAGAATAACACAAACTTTTCTCCTTTTTTTCCAGATTATTTTGGAACTATTTTGGTAAAAATGGAAAATAATGAAATGTTTTATTTCAAGATTTATATTAAAGATGCAATGAAGCTACATTTATGGACAAATGATGCAACAAAATCATCAATTCTCTTTGATATGTCTAGTCAAATATATCTCTTATATGTTTTTGACAATGGCACAATATATACAAAGGAATATCCCTTAAGACTGGAAGTACAAAGTATAGCTTTCAAAACAAAAGAACAATGCCCCTTCATAGCATTTCATCATAATATTCCTTATGGTCATTCTTCTTTGGACAAGGGAAAGAACATGACAATTTGGATTCAAATAGTCTATCCAGAAAATACTGGTCTGTATATTATTGTGGAATCATATGGCCCAAAAATATTAGAAGAGAAAAATCATATTCACTATGAAATTGCCTTAGGATACTGTACTAAAACTAGGGTAAGTTAATATTTTAAAATTTCTTAATTTGATTTTATTAAATGTAAAAGTATAGTATTAACATTTTTAAAAAACAGATTTCCTTTGTAGACTTAGCATGGAAAATGTTGAGAAATATACATGCTTTTAATAAATAATAATAGGATGAGCCATTAATCCCTGAGCCACAACTTTCACTCTCAATATCCAAGAACTCTTTGCCACCTAAAATATATTCCTGCAAAACTCTTTGGCTATCAATTCTATTGTTTGCTTCCCTTTTTTTTTTTTTCAATGCCTGGCTTTTCTGTAGAGTTCTATGTGAGTATCTGGGCATTTCAGCTGGTTTCATCCTGGTTCATTCATGAGGCTGTGGTCATCTGGTGGCTTTTCTGGGACAGTATGATCTAAGATGGCCTCACTCACATGTCAAGTGGTTGGTGCAAGCACTGGTTGTTAGTATAAGGGGCCTCAGCTGGAGCATTTTTCTCCACTCCATGTAGCTTCTATCCTCCAGACCAGACATGGCTTCTTTGCATGGCAGCCTCAGGACAACGTTCCAAGATGGTGAGAGCAGAAATCACAAGGCCTCTTGAGACCTTGATTTGACCTCATTCTATTCAGCAAAGCAATTCACAAAACCAGTCCAAATTACCAGGTTGGGGAAATAGACTATGCCTTTTAATGGAAGAATAGCCAATGTATACTGTCACGGGACATGCATATAGGAGTGGAAGGAATTATTGCAGACATCTTTGCAAACATTCTATCACAATAGGTATAAGTGTACTGAGTATATTGTTTTGTATACTACTTTTCCAATTAATATTACAGCATAAGCATTTTACGTGTTACTAAAATGTCTTCCCAAATATTGTGTATTCTATTCCCCACTTCTGTTACTGACCTCAAGGGGTTCACCAGTTGGGGTATTCCATTCAAGAACAAGACATGGTTGTCATTAGGTCATTTTTTTACTTGCAGCAAGTAAAGGAGACAGGGAATTCACATCCAAAGTTCTGTCTCCCGAAAAGGAGGCTTAACTATTGCTTGTATACATTATTTGGTTAATTCTATGTTGATTTCTTCTTTGCAATTGGCTATACTTATCTGGTCGGTTCCTGTCAAGCTCATCCTGTTTACAGCTGCATCTGCAAAGTGATATGCTACATTTTAAACTTCAGCAAGAATAGCCTTTAGTAAAAATCACCCAGACCTCAAAACCCTGGCATTATCTAACACTTCCTCTTCTAGGCCAGCTTCTTTAAGCTTCTACAGTAGGAGGCCTCTTAACTGATACAAAAGAATGAAAGTTAATTCCCAAGTCAGTTAAAGCAGAGAATCATAAAAAATGAAACTGATATATGTGGAACATTTTCCTTTAACTTAAATAAATGAATATACATTCATTAGTCAATCTTTTAATATAGGACCACAGACTTTTTTTTTTTAATAAGTCCATTTATTGGAGTCCCTCATCTCCTTTCTTGTATAACCTTATTCATGATCTATCATTCCTGGGTTCCCATTTTAGTCTCTTTAAAATGGAGAGGAAAAAACTTGGACACTTAAAACAACCAACATTCTAGAGTTTTACAATTTTTTTCGGTCTTTGTGCTCTTTCTCATAACTACTTCAGCAGTGTCTTCAGTTGGGTTGCTTTATCCAAACTTTCCAAAGCAACTTAGTTCTCAGGGAAAATGTAACTCCTTTTTTACACTCATATACTCATACCTCATTAGTCCAAAGCATTTAATTGCACAATTACAATAATAATGCAATTGGACATAAACAGGCTTGGAAACAAATAAAGCTGATTTAGATTTGCATACAGAGTGACATGGATAGACCTGCAAATAGTGTTGAGTGATAAATAAATAGTATTCAGTGATTAAGAGGCTGACACGTATTATGCTTTTTTGATATATGTTATTGGGTACCTTTGTATCCTTGTAAAATGAATAATACTTGTTTGGTGTATTTGATGATGTTATGGGTGCCTAGTATAGGGGAAGGGATTGGGGGAAGAAGATACAGGAGAAAATTAAAATACAGTAAATATAATGAGGCAGGATTGATTGTGTTTCAAGAAACAAGGAGTATATTTAATTCACTTTTCTGAATTAAATTACCCCTTCCTTTCAGAACAAAAACAGAAAAGATTTACACTTTTCCTCAGCCCAAGGAAATTTTCTTTGATTATCTATCCCCGATATCTGTGTACTCATATACTCTCATAGGCTTCCTTTCCAAGAATTGGATGTATAGTGTATGTTTGCCTATTTGAAATTCAGCCCTTCAAAATATTAGTTACCAATCAAAATATACAAATGACCAAGGACAATGAAAAATCAAAATTTGTGTGTTTTAATAAAATACTGGCTCTGTCACTTACTGATGACATTGAGCAAGTTTTTGAATTTGTGCCTTCTTTCATCTAAGTAATGATAATAATAATAGTTATTATTATTATAGTATTTACTTCATAAGATTATTATGAGGATTAAATAAGTTTACATAAATTAGAAGATCACCTGGCACATAGTAAGCACTATATGTATGTGTTACTACCATCATCATTGAATTCGAAGCTCTTTTATTTTTTTACATTTAACATCTCTGAGATATGTATGAGTCTTACCTCCTATGACATCTTAGATTTGATGAAATATAGCAGTATTATGATGTAATAACCTGTGTATAATATAACTTTGCTTATATCGTACAGATTGGGTCACTATAACTTCTCAAGCTAATTATTAGCTAGGATGGCACTAAGCATCATAGCTAGTCATTCGTTTAAAAAAAAAAATGAATGTAACACCCATATACCAAAGTGGGTAACTTTAATTTTGAAAAGTTCCTAATGCTACTAGCTACTTACTTAGTGATATTTCCACCAAAAGCTAGTTTTGAAATTTTAAAAATTATTTTTTAATATCTTAATTAAGCTAACTCCTTTTTTTTTAATTAAATTTAATTTTTTTAAAAGATTTTTCTTGGGGAATTGGGGGGATGGGAACAGTGCTGGGGAATTGGGGGAAGGGAAACAGACAAGTTGCTGTCGTTTTGTTCTTCAGTCTAGTTGTAGAGGACGTTGCTTCACTGGCCCAAGTTGGTACCATCATTGCGCTCTCTCCGGGTGAGACAGATCAGTCGGCAGCTTCTGGACGGCCACTCACTGTGGCTGCCGGCCCCTCATGCTGGCTGCTGGCCACACACGGTAGCTTATGGCAGCCCACTGTAGCAGGGGCTGCAGCCTACACAGTCACCGGCGACTCATGGCAGCCCAGCTCCAGGTTGAGCTGTTGTTCACCATCTTAGCTGTAGAGGGCAGTGTCACTGGCCCTCATGTGGGAACCGAACCGGGGCCCTGCTGCTCAGAGCTGGCGTCCCAAGCTAGCTCTTAACCAACGCGCCACTCAGCCGGCCCAGCTAACTCCTTTTTTTAATTGAGATATAAATGACATCATTATTATACTAGTTTCAGGTATACTAGTGATTCAGTATTTGTCTATATTTGTATAAATATTTGTATATATTTTGTATAAATTTGTATATATTTGTATATGTGTATAAATAATGATTCAGTATTTGTATATATTGCTAAAAGATGACCAAAACAAGTCTAGTTAACATCCATCAACCCACATAGTTACAATTTTTTTCTTGCGTTGAGAACTTTAAAGGTCTACTCTCTTAGCACCTTTCAAATATACAATACAATATTATTGACAATCGTCATCATGATGTACATTACTTATTTTATAACTGGATTTACTTATTTTATAACTGGAAGTTTGTACCTTTTGACTGCCTTTACCAATTTCACCCACACCCCCACCCCCACCCATGCCTCTGAAAATGATCAATCTGTTCTTTCATTTATGAGTTCATAGGGTTATTTTAGGGGCTTTTATGTTTTCTTAGGTTTTTTGTTTGTTTGTTTTTCAGATTTCACATGTAAATAAAATAATGCCTTCAAGTTCAATCCATGTTGTCACAAATGGCAGGATTTCCTTCTTTTAGTGGCTAAAAAATAATCTATTGTGTGTATATCACATTTTTTTATCCATTTATCCATCGAACATTGAATGACACTTGGATTGCATCCTTGTCTTAGCTACTGTAAATAATACTGCAATGAACTGGGGGGATGAGTATATCTTTTTGAAGTAGTCTTTTTGTGTCCTTTGGATAAATACCCAGAAGTAGATTTGCTGCATCATATGATTTTAATTTTTGAGGAACCTCCATACTGTTTTCCATAGTGGCTGCACCAATTTACATTCCCACCAACTGTGCACAACGGTTTCCTTTTCTCCACCTCCTTGACAATACTTGTTATCTCTTGTCTTTTTGATAATAGCCATTCCAACAGGTGTGAGATATCCCATGATGGTTTTGATTTGCATTTCCCTGATGATTAGTGATATTGAGCACCTTTTCATGTACCTGGTGGCCATCTGTATGTCTTCTTTGTAAAAATGTCTCTTCAGATCCTCCGCCCATTTTTTAAATCAAATTGTTTCTTTTCTTGCTGTTGACTTGAGTTCCTCACAAATCATGGATTGTAACCCCTTATTAGATCTATGATTTGCAACTGTATTCTCCAATTCATTAGGTTACCTTTTCATTTTGTTGATGTTTTCTTTGCTGTGCAGAAGCTTTTTAGTTTGATGTCGTCTGACTTGTTTTACATTTGCTTTTGTTGCCTTTGCTTTAGGTGTCAAATCCAAAAAAATCATTGCCAAGACCAATGTCAAAACACTTGCTACCTATGTTTACTTTTAGAAGTTTTTAATGGTTTTGAAACAGGGCCCTGTTGGGACCCCACAAAAGAGGCCTTGCAATGTCCCTGGCCTCCCCTCCCCCTGCCCTAGAGCTTAACAATTGATCAATGCTCTCCCTGCGGTTTGAGCTTGGAATGTCCCAGTCCCACTTCCTGAGTTTGGAATACCCCTGTCCCAGTTCCTTGCTTTAGATAATTACCCTGAAACTTATGCTTGCTTACTGATCACAGTACACCATGCTTATGGATCATAATACCCCTTGCTTACTGATCACAATGCCCCTTTCTTCCTGATCACAATGCCCCATGCTTACTTATCAGAATGCCCCCTGCTTACTCATCACAGTACCCCTTGTTCACTGATCACAGTACCCCTTGCTCACTGACCATAGTACCCCTTGCTCACTGACCATAGTACCCCTTGCTCACTGACCATAGTACCCCATGCTCACTGATCACAGTACCCCATGCTCACTGATAACAATCTCTATGGCCTAGAATCTTTCCTGGTTACTGTCATCACTGCTCCTGGGTTGATGACCAGGTTAGAGAGCCACATCGCCAGAGGGGAGGCTGCATGCAGACCCCTGGATGGAACCATCACGTGGCCTCTGGAGGAACGCCCAGGTTTTGCCTTCAATGTCCCAGGCTGCTCTGAGAATGTGAAGGCAGTTTTTGGAGGTGTTAACCTGCTGCCTTCTCAGACCACCAGTGCTCTGATAATAAACGCTTATTCTATGACCCAACTTCTGTGTCGGTCTATTGGCTGAGTGGCGCAGGCAGCACAAGCCCCAGGCTCGTTTGGCCTCTGGTTCAGTTTAAGGTCTTCCATTCAAATAACTAATCTTATTTTGAGTTGATTTAATGTTTATTCATATATATTTCTCTTAAAATATATAAATATATGTATATATTTAGAGAGAGAGATCAATTTGGTTCTGGCTAATACGTTGTGATGAAAACAAAGATTTTTCTTAGTGAAAAATCTGATTTCTGAGACAAGTTTATTTACATATAAGCTGGATGCTAAGTGGTATAACACAAAATATACAATCTTTTTTGATAAAGTTGAAGGTTGCCAAGGTCATTACATTAACAAGAAATCTAGTTCCATGTTCAAGGAAAGGAAGTAATATTAATATATTATATATAAATATGTACAGAGGGTGTCAAAAAATGTATACACCGATTTTAAGAAAAAAAACTATTAAAATTGTAATACCCAATATATACTGATAACAAAAGATGAATACAAGTCATATTTGACTTCTGCAATTACAAGATGTGCTCAAAGTGATTACCATCAGCATAATTTTAATATTTTCTTCCTTTCTTAAAATGTGTATGCATTTTTTGGCACCCTCTGTGTATAAAACAAAGAAATACCATAAAGTGATTTAAGGATATAGGGATTGCAATTACCAATATGCCCAGCTGGAATAAAATAACAAGAACATATGCAAAAAGCAAATGGAGATTTTTAAAAAATTTACTCAAAAACAACAGAGGAAAGGTTCAGGCAAATACTTCCTCATAGTCTCAAAAATTACAAACAATATGTTATCTGTAATCATTTAAAACCCTCAAAGAAATAAAACTGTCCAGAGACAAGGTTATTAGAAAACAGAAGAAAGTGAAAAGTTTGATGTGCTCAGGATATAAATTAAAAATAAAAATGAGAATATTGAAATAACAAAAGTCAAATGAGGAAGGAGAGAGACACAATACAAATAAAAGGACTATGATAATATAAAATTAAAAGGAAAATGTGACAAAGTAAATATAATATGTACATAATTGGAGTTTCTAAAATAGAAAAAAAATTGAAAAATGCTAAATATTTTTCTTATCTAAAGAAAGATTTAAATCTGTCTTGAAAGTATCCATTTTCTCCATTTCCAATTTTCCTGCTTTACATAAACTTTTTTATCTTCTTTTTCAGACAGTAACATTTTTTCAGAATGTAAATTATGAGGCGGTGGATGATTACTTCCAGTTGCAGTAAGTATGACTTTTGGAAAGAACCTACTCATGTTAACTATGCTATTCAGGTTATTAATTTGTAGGTATTCTTTTACTTAAATGGCCTCAAATCCTTTTAAATATCCAGATTTCAAATTCCTGGATAGATATGAAATTAGTATTCTGTGTAAAAATTTAGAATACTCCTTGTGATTAAATGTAAACATGACTTATCTGAAGGTTCTCACTCATCCCATTGAAAAATGCAAAAAAAAAAAAATTGCAGATGACATGATGCTACTATAAGAGGGAGCTCTAAAATTTCCACCAAAATATTTATTAGAACTGATAAATGAATTCAGTAAAGTAGCAGGATAAAAAAATTAATATTCAGGAATTGATTGCATTTTTATACACCAATAACAAATTATCAGAAACAGAAATTAAGAAAACAATCCCATTTACAATTGCATCAAAAAAAATAAAATAATAAACTACCTAGGAATACATTTAACCAAGGATGTAAAATACCTGTATTCAGAAAATTATACGACATTGAAGAAAGAAACTGAAGAAAATACAAATAAATAGAAGCATATACCATGCTCATGGATTGGAAGAATTAACATTGTTAAAATGTCCTTACTACCAAAGGAATCTGTAGATTCAATGCAATTTCTATAAAATACCAATAGCATTTTTCACAGAACTAGAACAAATAATACTAAAATTTATATGGAATCGTAAAAGACCCCTGGTAGCCACAGAAATCTTGACAAAGAACAAAGTTAGAGGTATTAAGTTACCTTATATCAAATTATACTAAAGGGCTATAGCAATCAAAACAGCATGATACTAGCATAAAAACAGACACATAAATCAAGGGACTAGAATAGAGAGCTCAGAAATAAACTTACACCTATATGGTCAATTAATCAATGACAAAGGAGGCAAGAATATACAACGGGGTAAAGACAGTCTTTTCAAACGGTGTTGGGAAAACTGGACAGATACATGCAAAAAAATGAAACTAGACTACCTTGTTACACCATATACAAGAATAAACTCAAAATGGATTAGACTTAAATGTAAGACCCAAAGCCATAAAACTCCTAGAAGAAAACACAGGCAGTTAAATTCTCTGACGTTGCTCTTTGTATTTTTCTGATATATATCCTCGGGCAAGGGAAACGAAAGGAAAATAAACAAATGTGACTAAATCGATCTAAAAAGTTTTTGCACAGCAAAGGAAAATCATCAAGAAAACGAAAAGACATCCTACTGAATGGGAGAAGATATTCACTAATGATACATCCGTTGTGGGGTAATATCCAAAATTTATAAGGAACTCGTCCAACTTAACACCAAAAAGACAACCAATTTGATTAGAAAATGGGCAGAGGACCTGAACAGACATTTCTCCAAAGAGGACATACAGATGACCAATAGACATGAAAAGATGCTCACCATCACTAATCATCAGAGAAATGCAGATTAAAACCGCAATGAGATAGCACCTCAAACCTGTCAGAATGGCCATATGAGGAAACCTCCATACTGTTTTCCATAGTGGCTGCACCAATTTGCAATCCCACCAACAGTGCACGAGGGTTCCCTTTTCTCCACATCCTCACCAACACTTGTTCTTTGCTGTTTTACATATGGTGCCAGGTAGGTACTAGACTAGTCAGAGGGATCACTTCGTAAATTATGTAAATTTCTAACCACTATCCTATACACCTGAAACTAATATAGAATAATATTGACTGTCAACTGTAATTGAAAAAAAAATTTTTTTAGTGCTAAACAAAGGTGGAACAAAAGAAATGTTAGGATTTTTTAGGATGTTAATCTGACTTTTTAGGAAAATTTTCCCAGAGTTAGGACTCCATTAAACTTGTCTGGAAAAATCAAGACAAGTTTCAGAACTCAAATATGTTCTCTGACAAAAGACAGAATTGGGAAAAGTAAAGTTGAACTTAAAGCTTATATTCAAAGATTTCGATACTGTTAAAAAAGGTCTTGTGAAAGATCATGGTCTGAGAAGGTCACCTGACACATGAAGGGACTGAGCCCACAGAAGTTAAGCATCTTCTCTAACATCACTGGGCTGGTTAATGGCAGACTGATGATGAGAACCTTGGACCCTGGTCCTAGGCTAGTACACCAGACATTATATCACTTAGTATTATGCTTTCATCACAGAGATCCCTTAAAAAAGGTTTTACCACAACATTAGAAAATCTTATGGGGCCAGCTGAGTGGCTCAGTAGGTTAAGAGTTAGCTTAAGAGCGCAAGCTCTGAGCAACAGGGTCACCGGTTCAATTCCCACATGGGCCAGTAATGCGGCACCGAAGCTGAGCTGCCAACAGGTGACAGGATGGCTCAGCTGGTGTAACAACAAGATTGCCTGTTTGATGGTGGGCTACGCCCGCCTGCAACTAAGGCTGAACTCGGCACCTTGAGCTGAGCTGTCACCTGGATGGCTCAGTGGATAGAGTGTGCGCTCTTAACAACAAGGCTGCTGGTTCGACTCCCACATGGGATGGTGGCTCTGCCCACCCACAACTAAGATTGTAACACAGCACCTTGAGCTTAGAGGCCACAAGCTGCCAACAGGCAGCCAGATGGCAACTGGCACCCTCCACAACTAAGATTGAAGAACAACAACTTGGCTGGTCCCCTTCCCCAATTCCCCAACACTGTTCCCCTCCCCAATTCCCCA